AAAAAGCCCCAGCTCTTGGATTACAGCATGGAAAGGTTTGGTTCGTGCAGCAGGTTGTCACGGGAGGACTGCTGGGTAGAGAGGAAATTCTGGTGCTGTGGATGAAAGAGGTGGGGAGGAACAAAAAGGGGGACGGAAATATTCCCTTCAAAGCTCATTTTGGAGTAAAAAGCATAATTTTCCACGGTCATGTTATATTTAAGATTATATACTGAGGGAAAAATACATCCTTGAGTGTTAGGTTGGGCATTTACAGTCCTGGTTTGGAGATACATAGATCTCAAGAACAAGACGAATCTCCAGCTCTTAGTAATCCAAGTAGAAAGTCCAGACACTCCTGTCCTGTTCCTCATTTCAGCCCAGTGGGGACAGAGTTTTCTGCCTCTTTCCCATATTTCTGCAGTAAAATTGGCTGCAAACCCAAAAGCAGCTCCGTCACCTTGGTGGGAGTTTTCTGGCATTGCTGGGTTCAGCTTCTTTCCCTCCTTTCCTCAGCAAACCATCTCCAGTTGTCCAGCATTTCTCACCTCTCTCTGCTCCTCTCTCCCCTTCAAACCACTCAGAAAGACACTGCTGGTGGTGAATTCCTGGGAAAAAAAAGAAAAAACGATCTTCTTCCTCTTTCTGAACCTCTGAGTTTAATTAGGCTCGTTCTGCACCTGTCTTGATGACACATGAAGGAAATTAATGGAACCAGCAACCATTTCAGACTTCCATGTGGCCTGTGGGAGCCTCCAATTACTTCCACTATTGGGCTATGTCAGGGATAAGAATAAAGGACTTTAATTATTGACCCTGCTGTGCTGGGGAATGGCAAGGAGATGGATATTTGGCTGCATCACGTGATCAGCACAGGATCCTGACAGCAGCATTTGGGAAGGAACACAGCAAAGGCTGTCAGGAGCAAATAAATTCTGGGTCTGGAGCCTTCCAGCAGCCTGGGGAAAAGAAAAAAAAAAAATCACAGGTCTGCCTGGGCTGGAAAATGAGCCAAAACAACATGATGAACAGGGCTGGTAATGCACATTGGTGAGCACTTGTACATCCCAGTCCTAAAATAGACCATCTGAGCAGCCACAGACACACCTCTCCAGGCAAAACTTCTGACTTGCCTCCCCTTGGCTTCGATCCTCCAAAACTACACTGACCTTGGTGAAGGCCCGACCTTGAGGGGGAGAGAAGAGAGATTTTATGTGCAAGAAGGAACATGGAAGTCGATATTTTTTTTCAGCAAAGGTGTTTTCCTGCAGTAAAAGGCTTTTTCATCAGCATAAAGAACAGAGATGAAAACTAAGAGGAAGAGGTTTCTTACTCTGTAGTTTTATGGAGTATCCAATGAAGTTTTATGGGAAGTGTTTGGCATCTGATGAATCAAACCCAGAAGAGAGAGGCTTTGTCATATCTGCATCAAGGCAAGTCTGTATTCCTACCAGGCCAGCCCTTCCCCAGCAGCACAGCATCAGCCTCAGGGACAGCAGGGCTGTGTGGACCTGCAGCTCACACCTGCCCCTGTCGTGCCTCACATCTCCCAGCACCACGTCCCCCAGCTCCCGGGGAGGGTGGGTGGGCTGAGCGCCATATGGACAGACACGAGCCACTCAGGGAGATAAAACATCCACTTGGGGTTGAATCGATTCCTTTCCCCTCTCCCTATTGCTTATTTCCCTGCATCAGCTCACAACAGCACATCCAGCTCTTGGGAGTGCAGGGCAGTTCAAGCCAAGACCCAACCTGGCCTTTCCCGGTTGAACACCTGATGGTGGGAAGTGAGGAGAATGAATTCCTTGTTTTCCTTCGCTTGCCTGGCTCTTGTTTTACCTATTAAAGTGTCTTTATCTCAGCCCACGGGTTTTCTCACTTCTACTCCCCCCCACTCTCAAACCTCTCCCCCGTCCTGCCCGTGGGGGACGAGGGAGCAGCTCCTGGCTGGGGTTAAACCACGACATGTTTTCAAGGCACATCAAAACAATGAAGCCTGAAACGCTCTGTGGGTGTGTGTGACGTGTGAAGGACAATTTCACTCAATCCTGCAGCTGAATAATGGCTCTTTGGGTAATTAGGAGCAGATATTTTTAAACAGATTGGTCCCTCCGGCTGAGGGCAACTGTAAGGTGGAAATCAATCCTGCAACGAGTATTATATTAATTTCAGAGATCTTTGTCTCTGTGGACAAAAAACCCACTGTCTTCCTGTGAACGCTGCAGTGATGAGAACATTAATATTAGATAATTATGACTTTGAAAGATTAAATGAAAAACGGTGGTGACGAGGAAAGGGCATTATGTTAAATAAAACTCCTGCCCGTGGAGGCTGTTAACACTCATCTGTTGACAGATACAGGCTGAAATAATAAAAGCAAGAGGAAGGGAGAGGTGGGTTCTGTCTCTGTCCAAAGTGACAGAGGTGCAACTGTGAGGCAGGGAAACAGAGTTAATCACACAGAAAAGGCATTGATCTCCAGCAGGAATGTTTAGCCCCTTTTTACAATGCTGCTCATCCTCAGAGCTTTTCATCTGTCCAGGGGCATGCTCAGGGTTTTGATTATGCTCACAGCAATAAAAACACAGACTCCTGCTTTGAAGCATCTCAGGGAGAACATCTGCCCAAGATCCACCTCTGTGATATGGACAACTCAGCTACCAGGGAATCAGAATATCCTGGGCTGGGAGGGACCCACAAGGATCATCCAGTCCAGCTCCTGGCCCTGCACAGACACCCCAACGATCCCACCCTGGCCCTGAGAGCTTTGTCCAAACTCTCCTGGAGCTCTGGCAACATCTGAAGTCAAGATGAAAACTGAGCATCTGAAACTACCCACAAAATTCCAGGCAGTGACTGAAGATGTGGGGATAAAGGAAGGATTAGTGAGGGAAGGAGGAGAAGGTGGAGATCAAGCTGAGGGGGAGGAAGGAGAACTGCTGCATTATCCACCCCAAGGAGCAGCAGCACATCCAGCTTGCCCACCAAGGCTGATGCTGCAGCTCCTTCCAGACCCAGAGCCTTGGCAAGGAGCTTAAAAAAAAATTGAAAAAAGCAGAAAAGCAAATCCCCAAGATCGTTCCAGAGGTGTTCCTGCCTTGCATTAGCTCCCACACAGGCTCCTTTCCTCTCCAGGTACCTCTGCTTTGGGGGGCTGCCAGCCCTGAGGGGCACAGAGAGCCCCCCAAACCCCAAACCCTGCAGCCTCACACATCCCCCACTCTCTCACATTTCCCACTGATTTCAGATTTTTGTCCCTCACGCCCTGGATGTGCCCAAACCAGGTAGAAACTGTACTTAAAAGAGGTAGAGCCCAACCTGTCCCTGCCTGTGTCCTTTGCTGAAGGCTAACACAGGGCAGAATTTTAATTGCTCACCCAGCCCCATTCCAGGGCATGAAAGAGGCATGTTTTCTTCCTACCTCCTTTTTTTTTTTTTTTTCCTCCCATTTTGCTTGCTCTGAAGGAATTTTATGAATATAAAAACCTTACCACTGTGTAATAAGCACAATCCTCTTAGAGCAAATCTGACAGGCACTGAAGGTATCTTAATGGATGTATTATTTCAAATGTTCCCTTCTGTTTGATATCTGGCAAGCAGAGGGAAGCATGATTAGAGGGTGCTGGGGACATTGTATAGCTGCCCTTCCTTCCCACCTCTCCCATTCAGATTATTTCCCCCCTGTGACCTTTAGAATCTCGCTCTGATCTGGATCTGAACTAAAATTTGTGACCCTTTGATGAGCAAGGTAAAAGAGTTTGCGTGTGCCAAATTCATTTTCTTCTCCTTTAAAAAAAAAAAAAAAGAGTTCTTAAATAAGGCTCAACAAAATCCTTTAAGCCAGTTGCTTTTATCTATTTTTATATGGAATTTAAGGATTTGTGTCTTTTTCCCCCCCCCCCCACCTCCCTGTTGGCTCCCTTGTGATTGAATTACATCAGGAGCTGAGAGTTCCAGCATTCACTGGTGCTGTAGTAAAACTCTGAAAGAGGCTGCATCACACAGCAGCAGTGATGCTGGTGGTGATGGATACCAACCTCTCCTTCACCCTCATCAATGTTTTAATGCAGATTTTAATTTGCAGGCCGCTGAGATGCTGCATTTTGCCAGCTCTGACCAGCCACTGATGCCCAGGGTACCAGGACACTCTGTGATCAGCCACTGCCTTCACCCTTGTCCTGCCCCCTTTAATGCCAGAAAACATTGTGTTTGTAAGCAGAACAACTCACAGCTTGGGCAAAAACCCCCTCACTGCCCTGCCTTGAGGGACATCACGTCAAGGGATCCCCATCAAATCCCTGATTATAATAATTAGGCCAGGATGATGTCGAGTTAACGAGTGCGGTGCCTGTGTTTGAGATCCTTCATTACCCCTCACTCTGCTCCCCAGATCACACTCAGCCTAAAGACAGAGCCCTCCCTCCCTCCTCTCCCCAGCAGGCTCGTGGGATCCAGGCAGCTGGGATAGCCAAAGGGGGAGGGAGATTCCCAGGTTATCCTGGATTTAATCGAAACAAATTAGGACGTGTCAGAGGAAATTACGGAGCTGCAGGACCCGACACAAGGAAAGCCCCGCAACTTGGGCGCCCAGAAAAGCCGATGGAATGTGCTCTGGGCTGGGGATTTCACAGCCCTGAACGGTTCCTGCGGATGGGAATAGCACAGCGAGGTCCTGACGTTGATCTCCACTATCCTTCCCTCTCCTTCTGTTGTGCTGCTGACGCCCATTCCCTCGGGATGCTCCCATCCTATTTTAACACCCCGCTCTCTCTGCAGGGGATGGCGCTTCATTAGCAGCCTCAGAGGTGGGAGGGAAGCAAGTTAGCTCTGGGACATATGGCTGAGCCAGATCCCTCCCTGGTGTAAATCCCACTCACTCGGTGCATCCCTGTGTTCTAAAGCAAAGCTGCACCTATTTCCACACGGGATCTGTGCTTGGATCCAGTGCCACCCTCTGCCATGGGCAGGGACACCTTCCACTAGCCCGGGTTGTTCCAACCTGGCCTTGGACACTCCCAGGGATGGGGCAGCCACAGCTTCTCTGGGCAACCTGTGCCAGGGTCTCACCACCCTCCCAGTAAAGGATTTCCTCTTGATATCTAAACTAAACCTGAGCAAAGGTTTAGATTAGAAAGCAAAACAAAACTGGTTGCCGAGCAAAGCAGAGCCCCGTTTGGGATGTGTCATTAGGATCAGTCATCTGCACTCAGGAATACAGGGAGGAAGGGGCAGATTGAGAAACACCACCTCATCCTCCTTCCCAAGATGTCAAAAAGGAAGTGGCAGGTAAGACAGGTAAAATGATGGTAATGTTCCTTCTCTCCTTTAGTTATCTCCCTACCCTCCTCAAAAAACCCCACAAAAAAGATTCAAAGAAAGGAAGTAAAAATCTCAAAGCCAAAAAAAAAAAAAAAAAAAAAAAAAAAAAAAAAAAAAAAAAAAAAAAAAAAAAAAAAAAAAAAAAAAAAAAAAAAAAAAAAAAAAAAAAAATTCACATTTTCTCCATTAAGCTTATTGATGGTCTCAGCAGACCACAGCAAGATCAAAGAGAGGGAGGAAAAATCTGCAGCTAATTAAAGAAACAACTGAGTACAAGACAAATATCAGGAAGCAACACAAAAGCCTGACAGAGGAGGGGATGGAGCCACAACCAGACCACACAAAGCAGAATCTTCAGCACTTGGGAGGCTGCAGGAGCAAACAGCCTCTGCCTCAGCAGGGTGAGGACAGACTCAGGCTCAACCTAAACACCTGGCCCAGGTAAGGTGTTCCTGCAGTGTGGATCCAGCAGGGAATGGGACAATTCCCTGTGTGGCTCCCTCTGCCAGATCTCAAGAGCTGATCTCAATATCACTGGCCCAGCCTGCCCTAATCTCACTGCTGCTTCATCAACCGCTGCTCTGGAGCTCATTCATCAGGTTTTTAGGGAATTTTTAGGGAATTTTGCTCCAGCAGCATCCTCAGCCTGTGCCCAGAGCTCTGCCAGGAGAATGTCACTGCAAGGGGATTGTGTAACCGCCTGTTTTTTTATGGTCATTGGAGCATTTGTTTAAGGCTGGTTTTTTTTCAGAGGTGCTAAGCAACTCCTGTCACATCTGAAAAATCAGAGCCAGGGACATTCTGTCAGCCCAGTGTCGACAGGAGGCTCAACAGGACAAGATTTAGTGTGTTCCAGAAGTGTTTGTAACTCCTGGCTGTTGGTAAACCCTCGCACGCCCCCCTCGAAATGAACACATCTCCCCTGCAGATGCTCTTCCACGTGGCCAGACCTGCACAAATGCTCATATAAATTCAAATTAGGAAAGAGACTTTATTGACATGACAGGCACTGCCAAAACACGAGAGGAGAAAACCTGTCAGGGGGAGATAGGATTGAGCAGTCGGGCTGAGCGTGGCCCCCCCCCCACTCCCCAACCTGCCATGGGGAGGGTGTGGAATGAGCAGTGGGGGAAGCAGCTCTCCATCATCAGCTGTGCCAAGGTGAGCTGGGGCAGAGTCCTGCTCTGTCCTCACTCCCCACGTCCCTGGCACCCACTGGATCTGCTCTGCCCTTTTCTCCTCACCAGAACACTTTCTGGAATGCTCCTCCATCCCTGCATCCAACACAGGCTGTTCCCTCCCTTCCCTGGAGCCTGTTTGCTTCTCAGCTATCACACATTCCTGTCTCCCCTTGTTGCCTCACACCTCTCCAGTCAGGATGGGGAGCAAGCCAGAGCCTCTCAACACCCTGGCAGAGCTGATGGAAACAAGGCACCAGTGGGTTCTGCACCCACTGGAAGGGCTGCAACCAGTTGAGAACAACATTTGGGAGAATTAAGGTGGAAACAGCTGGGAAGAGTCCAGCACCTCAGAAGTGAATCACTCAGAGAGGGAATGGAATTTCCCTCCAGGTGATGAGGGTGCAGCTGATGGAGACAGTTGTGGTTGGGAAGGAATTCTCCTCGGGGGACCCTGGCAAGGATTGGAGTTTAGAAAGGAGGACAAGGAAAAAAATGTATTTTTCTCTTGAGCACAAAAGCAAGAATTCAGTGAATGTGCTGCTCACCTCTGTGGAAATATTCCTGTGTAACAGGTCCTCAAGTCCCTACAAACACGAGTTTGAGCAAGTGCCTTCCCTCAGTGTGCTTTTGCTGATCCCTCCAGTTCCAGAAAAATGTGGTAATGGTTGGATTGGGTCAGGCTGTGGATCCACTGAGCCCCTCGCTCATCTCAAAAAAGGGATGATACACTAGCAAATATTAAAGGAACAGAACATGCAAACAATTATTCAGTGGATTATAGAGAGCAAGGAGCAAAAATGCCAAGAGACTTCATTTTATGCATCTGCAGATAAAAGCCAAAGTGTAGAAGATCAAAGCTAAATATTGCTGCCTGCTGTGTGCACATTGACCTGTTGTTCTGCACCACTCAGATCTTTGTGCTTACAGGAAAATGCAAGTTTTTTGTCTAAAAAGAAAGGAAAAAAAAAAAGCTTTAGAGAAACCATTAAACCAAAAGCCACTTTCAATTCCAAATGTTCACAGGAGCTGCCTCCACAGGTGACTGCTAAGGAGACCTCCAGCAAGAGAGCACGTTTTGTTTGCATAAAACCATCAGCTCTGCAAATAAAACTAGATATTTATGGCTTAGATTTCCCCTCCTCCTCCCCAAGTTTGCTGTGAATCTCCTCCAGCCACCAACTCAACAGTGACTCACGGGCTCATCCCTGGGTTGACACTCAGTGTTCCTCACGTGGCTCCTTGTCTTCCAGAGCGCTGGGTGACTTTGTGACAGCCCTGGGAGGACAAGGACCTTTAAAAACAGCCCCTCTGGGGCATGGAGACCTGTGCTGAAAGCAGAGAGGCTGTTGTAGGAGGGAGAGCATGAAGGGAACCCACTGCTGAAGGAAAACATCACCGGGGAGTGTCGTGGGCTGGCACAGCGGGAGGGAAACCTGTGCTTCCATGGCAATCATCACATCCAGCCTCACAAACTCCTCTCCAGCTGCTGCCCTTTGGATAATAAGTGTGTTCCTCACCACTAAATCCACTCTTGAGGCAGGACATGAACACCCACCCCCCTCCCTCACCCAGCTCACCTCCTCCATCCCCCTGCCAGGGTGGGAGCTGGTTGGGACAGCGAGCAAGGATGAGATCAAAGGGGTTAGGCCAGGGAAGGAAGGAAGGAAAGAAGGAGAGCACAACATCCATCTGAGAGCACTGACACAATTTTAATTAGATGGCGAGATGCAATTACTCATCTTGGAGTTTTGCCAGCCCATCTTTGTGGAAAAAAAAAAAAAGCCACAGGTCTGAGTGGACAAAAGGGTTTGGAGACCTCTGGTTTTTATCTGTGAGGACACACAGATCTCCTGCTCAACGACAGAGGACAGCAATCCAGGGGGGCTGCAGGGCAGGCAGGGGGACATCCACCGTCCAGAACAACCCAAGGACAAGGGAAAGAGCAGCTCTCTGGTGGAGCAAGCGCAGGTAACCACTGCTTTGTGCACTCCGTGGTCCAGCACGGTGGGGAGAATCAAGAGTGCAAAACACAAGCACAAAATGGTAAACTATATTTTGGGCCAAATTCTGGACTTTAGCATGCTGAAAACCTGGATCTTATAAAAAAAAATCTTCCATCTCCCCCTGCTCCCTGACTCCATCCCTACACAACAGCAGATACCTGTGTGCTCTTCCATGGGGACCTCCTCTACAAAGCACCACAGTATTGGAAGAGCTTTCCTTAACCCAGGTTTTGTGGATTCCTCACTCCTGGAAGTCTCCAAGGCCAGTTTGGACACGGCTTGGACCACCCTGGTCTAGTGGAAGGTGTCCCTGCCCATGGCAGGGGGTGGAAGGAGATGAGCTTTAAGGTCCCTTCCCACCCAAAACCAGCCTGTGATTCCATCTATCCCCACTCAGATCCTGGCAGTAGGAGAGGAGGGTGTGAGGTTGCAGGGAACAACATCCCCCTCTGTTTGCCCCGTAAAGGGAGAACTGAAACGAAAAGGCAGGCAGATAAATCCCGAATCCAGCCAGGCAGCCACGTCCATCCCATGGGAAGGGTTGAGTTGGAGGAGCTCGAGTTGCCTCGGCTGATTGCAATTACACCATCCGCTGGCTGGCTGGAAATGAAATGAAATTGCAACAGAGTTCCAGCTTTAATTGAAATTTCCTGGGATCTGTTATTACACGGCAGTGATTGTTCTGCAGCACTAATGAGCCTTTGCTCAGATGATTATCCAAGTGTCTCTCCAGTTGCTGTTTCATTATTGTATTATTAATGATCAGATAGGACTGTCACAGCTGAGACACAACTCGAGCATCAGACAGAGCAGGGATCAGAGCACACAAACACGGCTGCCTTGACACACATCCCCGGCCACAAGGGCTGGAGCTGCACAAAACACGCCCTGCAGAGCGATTTTGGGGAGGGGTGGTGGTGAGGGATTTCGTGTTTCTCTGCACTGTTAGGCTGAGTGAGTTATGCCAGGCACGTGGCAGGATGGTTGGAGTTGGGAGGGACCGTAAAGATCATCCAGTTCCAATCCTAGCACCACCACCTCTCACCAGACCAGGGTCAGAAAGGATTCACTCAAGCACAGAACACTCACACAAACCTCTGGGAGCTCCTCTGCACGTTTGTAGGGGACAGAAGAATGGCAACAGATAAACACGTATATTTGATTCAGATATGGAGTCAAATGGTCTGAAAAGCAAATGTGTCGTCGTAGAGAATCCAGCACAATCCTGGGCAAAACTCATGATGTTAAGAATTTGCTCTTGAGGTGTGCTGAAGCCTTTCCATGGTGCTGGATTCTTTGAGCCTCTCCAAGTGGCTGGGCTCTGAGCACACTCAGTGTTTTTCAGCATTCCTTGCTGAGGTGAACAGAGCAAACAAATGTGAGAGTTTGTGCCTGGCTGTGTGGGGGCTGTTGAGGAAGATGGTGCTGTCCAGACTTTGTCTTCCAGGAAAGAGTTTTGTCCTTTCTGGGTTTGCTCGTTTTATAATGACAGTGGTAAAGCTATTAATTTTTTTTTTTTTTTTGGATCATTCAGTGAAACAAGGACTGTCACTTTCTCCTCTCCTGATTGATATGAAGAGACTCCAAGACTCCTGAGTGTCCCCATGGGTCAGAAATTCCACCAGCCCATCCCTGTTCATCCTCCTTGACTGACCAACAAGAACATTTCAAACAGGCTGAAGCTTCAAACAACTCCCAGCAACATTGCACGTGTCCCCAGGATAATGTAAATCCTTAAAATACCCAATCCCTTCCAGGGTTGGCCAAAATCCAGGAGTTCTGGCTTTGCTTGGTTGTGTTGCTTTGGATTTTTCGTGTGATGTTGGGTAAAATCACTTCTCTATTTCAGTTACTTCAGATGTAAAAAAAGAAAAAAATGAAAAAGGGCTCAAAAGTTTGATCCCAAAGCTGGGCGACATCTCAGTTTTCTTGTGAAATGTATCCAGAAACAAAAAAAGGGAACAGTTTTAAAACAGCAGGAAGCAACTACAAAAATCAGGGTGAGTTAAGGGAACAGTTTCAGTCACAGAAATATTAGTGAAAAAAATTCAGAACTGCCAAACCTTTATTTATTTTTGTCACTACAGTTACTTTTAATTTCTTTTTCTCAAATTATTATTTTTTTTCCTGCTGTTCCCAGTTAAGCCAAATGTGTTTTAACCCACGAGGGAAAGCCAAAGCTCCCTTGGGGATGGCTCAGTGCTTCAGCTTCTATTAATTTTTTATTGGGGCTGTGCTGTCCAAGATCCTGAGCATGTCTTGGTAATTGGACAAAAAAAAAAAAAAAAAAAAAAAAAGCTTATTTCCCTAATATTTGGTTTCACCATTAAATAAATATTCCAATATTTGGATAACCTTCTTCACCCAGCATTGCAGGAAGTTGTACAATCTTTATGGAGGAAAATACTCTGGGTAAGTGCTTGGTATTGCTCTTAATGCTGGTAAAAGACAATCTACATGTCCAGGAATCATTTTCTTAAAATCCTAACAGCGATTCTTGCTCTTTTTTTTCTCCTTTCTCAGAAACACACCACACGCCATTAGATCATTATGGTCTATCAATTTGTCATATTTCAGCAATTTTTTTTTCCTTAAGGACCCACGATGAGAAATCACTAAAAAGGTCTAAAACCGGAGAAAAAAAACAATTGCTCCATTTCCATGTCAAAACACACAATATTCTTCCTCCTCTGAAAGAACATTAACAATAAAAAAAAAAAAAAAATCACATCCCCCTCCCCTTTAGCAGCAATCATCTCCTCTCCCCGTGATTTTGGTACATTGTAGTCTCAGGGATCTTTCTCAGGGATGGGAGTGGAGCTTTAATTTTTGTGGTTGTTGCTTTCTCCACCTGAAATCATCCCCCTTTGGCAGATTTTGTGTCAAAAGAAGTCAAGGGGAGTGATTCTCCCTGAATGATTCCTCTTTCAGGGCCTAAAGGGGCTCCAGGAGAGCTGGAGAGGGACTTTGGGATGAGGGATGGAGGGACAGGACACAGGGAATGGCCTCATGCTGAAGGAGGGCAGATATTAGGAAGGAATTCTTTGAGGGTGGGGAGGTCCTGGCACAGTTTGGGCAGAGAAGCTGTGGCTGCTCCATCCCTGGAAGTGCCCAAGGCCAGGTTGGAGCAACCTGGGCTAGTGGGAAGTGTCCCTGCCCATGGCAATGGGGTGGGACTGGATGAGCTTTAAGGTCCCTTCCAACCCATTCCATGGTTCTGTGACTCTAAGCCTGGATGTTGCCAGCAGCACCTGAACCAGCTGCTTCCAAGCTCCCTTGGATCTGCTCAGCTGCACAGAAAACTGGTTGCTGTGCACAAGAGCTGTGGGATTAGTTCAGCATCAAATAAAGATATGATGATGAGACAACACTGTATTAAATTGCTGGCCCAGAGTGACTCCCAGGGAGGGGAAAAGCAGTCCTGATCCATGACTTCATCTGAATGTGCTTCTCCAAGTTCTTCTGCAGGCTATTCCCTGCATCCCCAGGCCATTAGCATGCCACACTGGCAGGTCAAGGAAGACAAAAAGGTCCCTGTAGCTCCCATCTGCCCCAGCAGAAAAGGATGAACTGATTATGTTCTACATTCAATCAGGAGAAAGAATCAATCTGTAATTAAGAGACTCCTCTCCCACCCCTCCGTCAGGTCTTTGCCTCTTCTTCCCTCCCATCCCCCACCAAACCTTCCAGCATGAAGTCAATTTAATGAGATTTCTCGGTAACAAATGGCCAGTTTGTAATAATTATATTTTCTTCTGCAATTGCTGTAAAAATGATTTAAAGCAGAGAAGGCTCCAATTTATTAAGCATCAGATTTTCTGTAGTGAACTTTTAACTACGAGAAGAGCCTCGAGACTGAGGGAGCTTCCCTTCCCCACCCTGAGCTTTGCCCTTGCCCTAAAATATCGATGGTTTTTAGATAAAGCTTTGCCTCCTTTATGAAAATAAATGAATCCTGTGGCAGGCAGAACCCAGCTGCAGCTTCTACCTTTTCACCATTATGGTTTCTTACGGGGTAAGAAGCTGTGCAGAGACCAACAAACCCACCCTCCACCAGCTGCAGTCCCAGATTTCCCCAGTTAATGTTGGCAGAAGGTGTCATTGCTCAAAACTTACAGGTTTTCAGGGAAAAATCCAAAGCCAAAAGCAGTTCAGGTCATCAGCTGTGGCACAGCTGGGCTCGGGGAGTTTACAGGGATGCTGACAACACTCATCCTGGATAACACCAAGCTTGTGGCTCCCAGACCCTGGAGCACCAAAAACCTACTCCAGCTGTGCTCCTGTGTGTTTGCAGCTCTGGGAAAAAAGCCTTGAAGGGGGGGGATTCTTTTCTCTCGGGTTGAAGCTCCACACTGCCAACATGCCCTGTCCACTGGTGTTCCGTGATCTTTGACAAGTCTTGGCTTTCCCTCCCTCCCTGCCACTAAAATTCCACTCTTATATGTCCACAGTCCCCTCAATTTATTTATTTTAACCAACATGCCACCTGGACTTTGTCAATGGTTGAGACAGAGCATTTAGGGGAGGACAGCAACAACATTCCAACTTTAATGCTTCGCTGGAAAGTCACTTCACTGGCTTTGATAAATCACAGCACTCATGTTCTGAGGCCACAGCTAAAACAGTCATTTAAAGCCATGCAGAAAGGGAGGGATGGAGGGTTCAAACATTTTAGACCATTGCACTGCCTCAGCAGCTTCCTAATTAGTGCAAGTTTCATCCCATTTTGTACCTGGAGAGTGACAACAACAGAGCAGAAAAAGATCTTGCCTTCAACTTCTTCTGGCGAGCCAGGCAAGTCTCGAGGGTTCTGTTTTATGAGGAGTTGCCACAAATTTCCTGTGCAGTCAGGCCCCTCTTGGGACTGCTGCAATCCATTATTAATAAAGGCAGAGCAGAATACAGGTAGCTGAACTTGGAGATCCCTGTGGAAAAGATGCTGGGCAGCATTAAAACAGAAAGGTGATTATGAAAAGGAGTGAAAGCAGAACTTAAGGAGAAGATCTGGAGAGGTGCATCTTTCTCCTGGATTTGTTTTAAAATGCCAGCAATGGTTTGCTGTGTGAGGGGAGAAGAAACATCTCAAAAAAAAAAAAAAAAACCTCAAACCTAATCCCCTGCTCGAAAACCCCAAAGATGCAGCACCCTGAGACTTTCCAAAGCAGTCACACCAGATGGCAAAGGTCATAGAGTCACAGAATGGGTTGGAAGGGACCATAAAGATCATCCAGTTCAACCCTGGTTCCATTATAATTTGGAGTCAGTAAGTTCTATTACAAGTTTGACCCCTTATCACAGCAGAGCCCACATCACACGGCAGGAATTGCCCAAACTGCTCCAAAACTGACTTGGCCCTTCCTCAAACCCATTTCATTTTGGCCAGATGGGACAAGTAGGAAGTCATGAGTCCCCAGTGGAGCTGGTCAGTGGTTTAAAATTACCTCATCCCTGTCAGCTGCTCTGAACAGCATCATAATCCTCTTGTCCAGGGTGTGAGCAGCAGCCCAAAAATAGAAGTGGCAGGAGAGAGTGAGAGAATCGAGTCCACTACATGAGAGAAACATATTTCTTCATGGAAAATCATGGTGAAAAGAAAAGCACAGTATTACTTTTTTTCCTCGCTTTGGGGGAATGAAGGTGAATTCAAAGCAAATCTGCCCTAGAAAAATCTCTGGAATGTGTCCAGAGAAGGGCAACAGAGGACAAGAGGAACCTCAGGCTGCACCAGGCGTGGTTCAGGTTGTATATCAGGAGGAATTTGTCCATGGAAAGGGTGTTCAGGCACTGGCAGGGGCTGCCCAGGGAGGTTTGGAGGTGTCCAAGGAACGACTGGACCGTGGCACTCAGTGCTCTGGGCTGGGGGACAAGGTGGATTCAGTGACCTCAGAGGCCTTTTCCAACCCTGACGATTCCATGATTCTGACTCTGTGCACAAGCAGCTCCCAAAAACCCTGAAACAAAGGTTTAACTCTCAGTTTTCCCTGGGGGGTCACTGCAAGTCTTCGCCGAGCCCTCATTTCGTTTTTGTTTTGCCCAAATGCTCCTCACCACAACCGAGGATGAAAACAAAAAAAGGCAGTTTCCTGCAGCACAGCAGCAACTGCTGAACCAGCTCCCAGCGTGGAGTTCATTGAAATGCAGACCAGCTACACCCCTTCCTTTTGCCTTCACCTGAGCTGAAAGGGAAATCGCTTCCACCAGCTGATTGACCTTTCTGCTGAACGGGTTGTCTTGCTCCAAAGCTCTGATCCATGACCCCCGTGGAAAGGCATGGAAGGCCGTGGGTGATTACAACCCAACAGGGCCATCCTTGCTGAAATAAGAGGATATTCACGTATTTGGCACTGGTTTCCTTTTAAAAGTGGCGAGAGAGATTCACAGCAAGGGATCCTTCCCGACTTCCCTCTCCCTGCCTTCCAAAGTGGAGGGACTGGGTGCAAATGGAAGAGCTGTTTCACTGGAACAAGGGGCAAACTGGAGAGACAGTAGGAGACTGAACTAGTCTGGCTCGTGGGGGAAGAGATTATTTTAATGAGACCTATTATATGAAAGATGATGAACAATCAATGTGAAATCCTGCTGACGGGCAGGGAGTTTGGGCTGTGGCATGCATGAAAAAACAAGATTTTCTGCACCTAGCAGAGACAGAGAGAGCGAATATGAATGAGGAAAGGACAGATGAAAGGAGCTGGGTCCCTAAATTGGCACAATTTGGCTGTTTCCTGATTAATAGCAGTGAAAGACGTGGCCAAGGGTTTTAACCTGCACACTGTTGAAATGCAGCTCCTTGTTTCAAAGCACACTTGTTACATGAACCTCCAGCACGCTTCCAAAAGGCTGTTAATTTAATTAATTATCCCTGGTAAATGGGCCCCTAAGGGCTCCCAGAGGAAACTGTGCATCTTGGCAAGGAAACAACAACTGACAGGAGCATCTGCCTTGCAGAGAATTACAGTGCCCACCTAGTGATGTTGAGCAAGAGGGAACCAGCCAAGTCCTCCTACTCCTTCCCCAGGTGTGGCACAAACACCTGCAAGTCCTCATATTCCACTTTTAGGCAACTATTCGTGCGGGCACATCCCCTGTTTCCCAGCTTTGGGTACATTCACGTGGGTCACACACTCAAAAATAAGGATTTTAAGTGGCTGGCTTGAGAATTTCTTAGGCACAGCCACCCCCTGCTCTGCCAGGTCAGTGCTCAGACAAGCAATTTTTGCTTTAGAAGTTAACAAGGCCACTTTTAACAAAGTAAACCCAATCACATCCAAGGAAAGGGACTTAGAGTTCATCCAGCACTTGTCAACAGCTGAGGAAAAAAAAAAAAAAAGTTATGCCTTGTTGGAGTCAATTTGATGGGAATCATCAGACAGCCAACTGCAGTAAATCAGGTGGATCCCAGCCCCTTCAGTGAAGCTTTGCCGATATTTGGAAGGTGAAGACCGAGCTCAAAAGTCCTTGGTGAGGTCATTCTATGTATTATTTGCCAAGATCTCGTCTCCCTTACCTGGGGGAAGGTGTCACATACCCCCTGAAGGAACTATTTCCCTGTTGCTCTTCCTTACACCCCACCCACAATTTGCTTATTTTAATTTTTATAATTTTTTCGCCTCAGAACCTGTACCAGCCTTGCAAACATTTTAACACCGTTCCCTGTTATTACATAAAGGCCAAAGGAAGTTACTCTGGCCTCAATGTGAGTATCAGTTCTGCCTTTTTCATTAATAATTTCACATTTGTTAGCACACACATTTCAAATATCCTCCCCCCCACACACCTCCCTACAACTCCACGGCTTCAGTGGAACTTTTCACACAACCAGCAGCCCAGCTGTAAATGACTGATTATTTTCAGCTTAACAAGCAAGAGGACAAACAATAAAAGAGCAAGGATAATGCATCACGAAATGTACTTTGTTCATTTATTTGACAACGGCAGTTTAGTCGCCATTAATTATGATAATACTTCATGGCACGCCCGTTAATGTTCTGTGGTGCCATTTGTTAAAGTCTCAGTCTCCCCTCCAGCCTCGTGCTGCTGCATTTGTACCCTGCAGGGAAAAGCCTGATATTTTTTTGGGGGGGAGGAGGTGGGAAGACATTCAAACCAAGCAATTTCAGCGCCTTGGAATAAGCCCTGAAAAGAAGGAAGGGCAGGTGGGGAGGTCAGATCCTTCCCAAATCCAGTCTTCTGCTGTTGACATCAATCCAGGGAAGAGCAGAACGTGCAGAGGACACGCAGGAAATGACAGCTCTGTTCCCAGGTTTTGTATTTAAGGCAAGACTTGAACATTTATCTTCCCTTGAACTCCACAGGTCCACGAGCTCAGGGCAGGAATGTTTCACTGAGGGGGGAAGAAGGAACGCTGTGGCTTTGGGATCCCAACCCCAAATCCTTGTGGGTGCATCTCTCTTTCTCCACTTAACTAAAAGTGTTAACAGGCTCCAGACGTGAGAATCAAAGGTAAGGAAAAGAACCAATGTTTTTCCTTCAAGCTTGGGAGAAAAAACAAGTAATTTAGCAAATGTTACTTAAAAGAAAGGTTTCATAAAATGACTTGTGCTCTGCCTTTTTTTCCCTTCTAAATTGTTTCTTCTTCCCTCTCCCCCTTACATTTCCACCACTGATTGACAGCTCCCTGATAATAGATTCTCTCAGTTGGCAGACACTTTTTATAATGTTTCATTCATGGCACTGCAAACTAGATGGTCCCTCTGTACCTCCTCCAATTTCTCTCCCTCTCCAATTGCCTCTAGGAAGGATGGCAACAAAGATTGTTGGAGCCTCTTGGGATTGTCTCTCCATACACCATGTTCCTGCAGTTGGCATTAAAGTGCATTGGTTTCCTAACCTATCAACCTTCAGTGAAAACTTCCACAGTGACAGCAAAAAACAGAGCAGGAAATTCAGATTATTGCCGTGGATAAATGACTGTTTGTCTCGAGGTATGAGATGTGTTTCTCAACCCAGCTCAGGCCACCCCGTGGTCATCCTGGGCACCACCAGTCCCATGCCAGAATCATGAAATCCCGAGCTGGAAGGGACCCAAAAGGATCCCCAAATACCACGTTGGGACCCCAGAAATGGATCTGCAGATCGAGACCAGCAGCAGCTCCCGAGCACAGCACACACAGCTCATGTTATGAGCCTAATGTGTCATTTCTCAGGGAGCCCAGGGGATTTGAACACTCAAGTGGCAGATTATTCAAATCAAAACTGATCAGAGATGAGGAGATAACCATACATTTATTTTGTTGGCAAACAGCAATTCCTTTTCAGCCTTGATCTCAATAAAATACTTTCCCTTTGTTGTGCAATCACAGCCTAAAACACAAATTGAAGAGAGACTCAAAATAAGTCCATATTTTCCTCTAAGAGCAATTTGCACAAACACTGTGTTTTTCCATGTTTACTTTGTTTGCCAGAATTAGAAGTGAAAGCCAGAGCAGCAGGGTGGAAGACACTCCCCTGGTTAGAATTACATCCACTTTTCCTTTGGGTTTTTCCCCCGACTGTGTAAATTTGGGGCTTGTTAACACATTAGAAGCCATCAAGCATCACTTTGCTGCTCAGTCTGCTTGTTTCTGTTGCTTGGTTGTGGTGATGGTTTAACTCTGAGCACGAGGGGGGGAAGCCTTTGCTCTTGAAAAGGATGAAGCTCCTAAATCCTTCAGCAGAAACAAAACATCTAAAAGCCTGTAAAAATCCCTGGAAGTGTCCAAGGCCAGGTTGGATGGGGCTTGGAGCAACCTGGGATGGTGAAAGGTGTTCCTGGAACTGGATGAGCTTTAAGGTCCTTTCCAACCCAAAGCAGTTTGGGATTCTATGTCTTGGGGGTCAGGGAGATGAGATTTGCAGAGATTTCAATGGGATGGCACTCCAGTTCCCATCAGGAAAATTGGGATAATAGGACTCTCTCATCTTACTGGGGTGGAGGGAGAAGATAGAAGTTAAAGATTCAGTGATGCTCCCCTAATACAGCCCCAGGGAGGCAGATAAGTGAGATTTTTCTCCAGCATTTTAAGAGAGAAGAGCTCTCCTGGCTTCAGTGGTGAAATGGAGCCAATTTGCACAGCCCAAGGATGGAGCTCTTGATGCTTATCTGAGGCTTGCAGGAGGACAAATGAGGGCTGCAGGTATCAGAGGCATGTCCTGCTGATTGCTGCTGCGAAGTTCAGCTCCCAGCACTGGTAAAACCACGTGGAGTTTCAGGTGACCCTGCCCTCAAGGCAGGCAGATCATCATCTGCACCTCGCTGGCAGGAGAGAGCGTAATGAGGAATAATTGCTCTGCTCGTGGTCCTGGAGGGAAGTGCCAAGTGCAGGGTCTGGAATTAGGTTCAAATTCAGGCTCAGGTCTGTGGTTAAGGCAGATTTTCCTCCCCCTGATGCCCTGGGCTGTCACAGCACCACCCTGTGCCTCCAGTGCAATCAGATTCCAGCCCTCCCCCTGCCCTCAGTCGGGACCTGCAGCCTCTCCACAACCCCCAATCCAGAAAAATGTTCTCTTTTCAGTGTCTCACAACGGGCTGAGTTCTTTTTCATCACTTTCCCTCTCAGCAAAGCCCAAGGTTGCTGTTTTCAGACCCACCCAGCTGTGTACTTGCCTGGATCTTGGTCTCCCAAGCCAGTAGCCCACATATTGATCTGTCCCTTCCCCATCCTGCTCCCAAAACTGAACTTCACTGAAGTTCCAGCACCTATAAGACATTTCTTCCTGAGAGAAACTCAGCTTCCAAAGAAATCATGCCCAGCCCTTAATGCCAGCTTTATTCCCAGACTTCCATCCCTACCTTCCCCTTGCACCACCTTTCTTGGCAATTCCCAAATAAATTATTATTTTATAAATATGATGTTTATAAATATAATAATTTTATAATTATTTATAAATTTAATACTCCTTCTGCCCCCCAAACCTTCATACAACCAGCAGTCAAGCCTGTTTTAGAATGGTGGGTGTAGTTAAATATTCAAGAGGAGAAAGCAAGAACTCTCTGGTTCTTAGAGTTAGAATCTAACATGGGAAATCTGACTTCCAGCTCTTCCCACATTTAGAAAGATCTGACATATTTTACAATGAAAAAAACTCAATCTCTCTACAAGGGAAAAAGGAAGACAGGGAGATATAGATGGGATAAGATGCTGAACTTCAAGTTTGGACTGAACACAGCATTTCTGCAAAAAAAAATATGACTGCCTGGCCAACTGTGGGGTGTTAAATCAATGCCTGATTCAGGAGTGAAGAGAAATGGAATAACATTCCAAGCTGGACCAGCAGGGAACATATTCACCAGGTGGAAAAGAGCAGGTTGCTCTGGCTAATTAATAGGTAATCAGGGCTAGAGCAGTAATTTTCTGAGTGATGACCAATTTACCCTCCGTGGGTTTCCCCTGGGGTGTCTCCTGTTCAGGTTGGATATTTCTTGATTGGAAGTTTTTAACTTTTGCAAAGTAAGGGCAGCTCCTATTTCAACTTATAAAAGACCCAGCATCAAGGGCCCAGTATGTGGTTGGTGGTTGCAGGGGAAAAAAAGAAAAAAAAAAAACAAAACCACAAAACCAAGAAGTCCATTCAGGCTCAAATCCAGGTTGGAAAGGACTTCAGAGGAATCCTTGAAAGCTTAACTACCTAAAACCCACTTTGTCCCCTTTCTGGCAGAGCCCATGGTGACAGCTGTAGCTCCTGAGCAGTATTGCATGCCCAGAGTGCTATGGCTTGAGATAATCCATAATTTATATGCGAAAAAAAACACCCCAATTTTAAAAGATGCACAACAAAATAAACCAGGGCAAAAGTGGTGGCTGGGGACAGGAAAAAGGCAGACGGTTTGATGCTTTTCCAGACAGTGCTGGGAAGTTGTTCCCCACTAAGAGGGACTTGGTGCCACTCTCTGAAGAGGAGATGGAGGCAAGCCTGAGGAAAATGCTTCCTGAGAGCTGTCCATCTGTGTGTCCCTGCTGCTGCTGCACATCAGACAGACAGGGCTCCTGGAGGAGGCATTTTTAGTATGAAGACGATGCTCAAACACGATGGGGCAGGTGGGCATCCCAGAGAGCATCCCTGGAGGGACAGGGATTTCCTTGGCAAGTGTGGGGGCAGGTGGGGAACAGGGGATGGGGGACCAATCCCCATCCTCATCCTGAAACTGCTCTGAACCGGGCAGAAATCAGACTTTAAGGGATTTACTTTAAGCACTGTGCAAATCTTGGAAGAGTTTAACAGAGGACTAGAATTAATTCAGTTAATAAGTAGGGGAGATAACAGGCAGGACCAGTTGGTATTTAGGCTGTTTTACATGACATGCCTTGAATGAGATTAATTGCATTTACCAACCCTTCTGCTCTGAGTGGTGGAGTGCCCCATCCAGTTAAACTTAGCCCCAACTTCAGCCTTAAAATACAGTTCTGTACTACAGCTCTGTACTATATTTATATTTTTCTGCACGTGAGAGGCACACCATGACAAACAAATATATCTCTGTGCTATATCTCTGTACATATTTATGTATTTCTGCACATGAGAGGCACACCAGGATAAATATATATATTTTTGTCTCTGCAGCAGCCTGGAGCTGCCCCGAGCCAGTGCACAGGGAAGAACTCAGAGGCATATCAAGTGGCTCAGCTCCAAGCTGGCACCACACGAGGTAACAGAATTTCTCAGGCAAGCACACAAGGGCCAGGGAATTTTAATATCTTCTTCCCCCTACAAGTAATTTCCAGTGTTTATGCTCTGCGGAGCTCCTTACGAGTGTCAGAGCAGAACAAATGTCATTTTTAATGGACTTGCTAAATCATAAAAACCATTCGGAAAATTGCATCTGATTAAAACATGAAAACCTTCCATTATTCACAGAGCGATCGCAGCAGCTCGGAATCAGCGGCAGGAGCGGGCTGGGGAGAAATCTCTTGGCCCACAGGACTTCAGGCCTCAGTAACT